TATCTTTTCGAATTAGAGTTTTCTCTGGATATATGCCCAGGAGAAGGATTGCTGGGTCATATGGTAACTCTATTATTAGTTTTTTAGCAAACTCCATACTGTTTTCCATAGTGCAGAAAGCCTGGTCTAGATTCTAGCCACTGTTGACAGAGATGATAAGTAATTATACCAAGAGATCAGACCCAGGAGTGAGAGGAGGGTACAGCTCAGCAGTAGAGCACGCCTAGCATGCACGAGGTCCTGGGTTCAATCCCCAGTACCTCCATCAAAATAAATGAATAAACAAATAAACCTAATTACTTCCCCTCTGCCAAAAAAAGAGAGAGAGAGAGAGAGATCAGACCCTAGACAGATGCTGGATCATGGTTTCATGTGGATCCCTGCAACAACTATTCATTGAACACATTTTAATGGGCCATTTTGCACACCGGTGTTTTCATAGAAACGAATACCTATGCTGTTCGCCTTGAACTTTTGTGTTTCCCTTTTCAGGAGTTCACGGTGAAAATCAGTAACATCCCTACAATTAAGAAATTCCTCGAACCTGGCAGCAAGAGGAAGCCGCCCCCGGATGACATCTACGTGAGAACCGTGTACAACATCTTCATGCCGTAGAGCGGCTCCCACGGCTGCGAGTGAGCGCCGACCCCGAGGTCGCTGCGTCCACAGTAGCGTCTTAATGGAAGCCAGGCTGTCGTGATCCAGCTGTCGTGGTGCTGTGTGTAGTTGTCCCTAAGTTGGTCTTTCATGTCGAGGAGCTCTCTTCTAGAAGCATCAACCTGTCTTGTCCAGTGAGTAATTGTTATGGGACCCTCTTCTGAAAACCTTTTTTGGAGAGGCCGGCATTTAAGTTAGATCTGCTCTGTCTGCTGATCGCCTGGTAACAAGGATGGGCAGGACCTCGTGTTCTCGCCTGAGCTGCTTTTCTCCTTTCCTTCTCCCATTCTAACCACCCCCTGCCCCAGGCTCGTCTTATTTTTGGTGCCTCATGACAACGGAATTCGCTAGATAGTGAGTAACTCTCCTCTGAGTTATAATAGATCCATGGTAGTCATGAACGCCATCGATATTTGCCAAAATAAAGGATTTACAAATCATTACCCTGCTGCTAGAATTTTTAAATTAAATCGTTTGGAGTACATAATACATTCACATGGTTCCAGAATCGAGAAACCATAGAAGGCTATCCAGTTAAAGTGGTTTGTTTTTTTATTTTCAGTTCTGCCCTCCATAGGCCAGCATCTTTATCCTTTGAGTATCTTTCCAGTTATATTTGACCCAAGTATAAGAGAATATAAATATATATAACTTTTATCCTCTTACTGCCCAAATGGTTATTTGTAGACTTCTAAATTTTTACGTTTCAAGAACTAAAAGTGTGGCTTGTTCATACTGCTTTAAACATGTGTTGATTTACATCTCAGATACTAATTGAGCACCTGATACGTGCCACATAGCATGCCAGGAGGCAGGAACCCTGGAACAGAGGCCCCACTTTAGGAAGAACTCCCCACACAGTAGGCGAGATAGATGTGTAAACAGCAGAAGTCATTTTAGAAAAGAAAGAATTACCACTTTGGGAGTAACTCACACTTAGGGATTTCAAAACTGAAACAAAAGGCAACTGTTTGATACAGGGCCTGTAGACAGGCCTCACTCATTCCTTACGGCCAGAAGGATTTTTGCCCAGATGTGAAAAACAGTCATGAGAGGACCCTGAATGCCTGTTCCAGCCACGCAAGTGCCTCAGGGTTTTGTTAGAGGAAAATCCAGCGCAGACGTGAAGGTCTGTCTTCACATTTGGACGGAGTGAGCACTGTCATCATGCTAATATTCAGAACTGCTGGAGGAGTCGCGGCAGGGCGGCAGGTGCTGCATGGGGCAGGCCCGAGGAGCAGTGGTGACCCAGGCTGATGCAACCGCCAGGCTCCTGAGAGCAAGAGAAGAAAAAGAAGAAAATGGGGGCAGGGGTGTAGTAAAAAGCCTCACCTTCCCCAGAGACAGATCGGGCCTTTGCTTCTGGGAGGTGATCCCTGAGTCTCAGGAAATGTCATCTCTGAAAGGCGTGTCTTTGTTTGCCGGGGGCCCTGGGCCAGCCAGATAACAACTATGACTTACGGCATAGGCGTGGTGTCAGCTCCCCTCTGGAGGGTCTGGTGATAGCCCAGCCATGTGGGCAGACAGACATGTCCCTGTGATGGAGCTCCAGGCAAAACTCTGGACTCACCTGAGTGAGAGTGGGCTTCCTCTGTGACAGTACTCCATTGTCACCTGTGCTTGCCAGGAGGAGTTGCTTGCCACCTGCTGGTTTCCTGCTCCACAGAATGAGGACATCTGGATGCTCTGTACCTGGAACTCTCCTAGACTCTGCCCTGTGCATCTCTGCCCTTGACCGAGTTTCTTCTGTATTGTCTCCCTGTAATAAACCGTAGCTGTGAGTATAACCATTTTCAGCGAGTTCTTTGAGTCCTTCCAGCAGATTGGCAGACCTGAGGGTGTTTAGGGGACACTCCCTGAACCTGTAGTTGGTGTTAGAGCGAGGGTGGTCTTTCTAAATTCTTCAGGGAGAAGAAACTTCACACTCATTTGGAGGCTGATTTACACACAGGAACCAGGCATCGACTTGGTAATACCCAGGGGTCTCTATCATTGAGTTTTGTGGGACTGCAAAAAATCTGGGCTCTTACAGGACCTTCTGGATGAGATTTTACTACCCAGGGCCATTGCCCAATAATATCAAAGGCCTGCTGTGTAGACCATAAGCCATAGAACAAAGGGTGTTTGGGGGTTTTAATTCTCTTAGACACAAGGGTACCCTTAAGGCTGGCTCTTTGAGACGACAGCCCGGGAAGGAAGTTGGCTTCTGCACTGAGTTAGAGGGTTAGAGGAAGTAATTGTGAGAGGCCAGGCCTCCTCCAGTGAAGGTACCTTCCCACGTGGGTCTGCTCAAGGTCACATGACCTTAAACGCTGCAGTTCACTTCCCAGCTGAGAAGCAAGTTCCCCTCCCCCACTCCGCACAGGTGCAGCACCCCAGCTTTGTCGCAGCCCCTCATGGGTCCAGACCCTTAGGTTTCAACACCCTCCCATTTTTCCGGAGCCACCAGATTCCAGTCATAGAGCAAGAAGTCAGGCGCTGGGTTCACTATCTTCAAAGACATCAGTGCAGGAGTGTTTAGGGTTGAACCAGACCCCTGAGGCAGGAAACCAGAGCAGAGCGGGGACAGGAGGCTCACCATCTTACCGCTGAGCCAACGCGGTAGAGTGCACACCACGGACGAACCGGGCAGTTGCCGGGGCTCTGTTGTCTGGAACGAAAGGGGAAGCTGGACAGCGTGGGGCTCTGGCGTCTACAGGGGACGAGCTGCAGCACCTAATGAGCCCGGGACCCAGCAGAAGCACTAAGAGGGGCTCTGGCAGGCTGCGTGCAGGAAGGACCACCTGACACTCCCGCCCGGGCGCCTGGGGGCGGGGCAGGGAATGGAGGGGCGGGGCTCCAGGGGGCGGAGCAGCAGCAGGTGAATCCAGGGGGCGGGGAATCCAGCCAGCAGCCCGCTCTCGTCCTCACTTTTCATTCCTTAAACCCAAATTGTCCGCACAGAAGATTGCACGGCGGGCACCTTGTTCTCTCCACACCAACATCCCCACCGAAGGGAATCCTCTGACCATGAGCTCGGGAGCCCACCCCACACACCCCATGCCTCTTTCTCACCATCTTACTTGATTTTCTTCAGAGCATTTGACACCGCCCCCCCACCCCGCAATCTTACCTGTTTATGCATCTGCGTCTTTATATTTAAAGTGGGTTTCTTGTGAAAAACATAATTGTGTCCTGTTTTAATCCACTCGCCATAGACTCTGTCTTAAAAATCGGTGCATTTAAGACATTCATATTTAAAATGATTATTGGATTAATCTCCACCATGTTTGTGACTATTTTCTATTTGTTGCCCTGTTCTTTGTTTCTTTTTCCCTTCTTTTTTTTTCTCTTCCACTCTTTTTCTGCCGGCTCTGGTTTTAATCGAGCTTCTTATGTGATTCCATTTTCTCTCCTCTCTTAGCATGTCAATTGTAGGTTTTTAAACATTTTTATTCTTTTAATTTCATTTTTATGTTTTTTTTAAGGAAGAGAGAATTCGGTTTATTTGTTTGTTTATCTATTTAATGGAAGTACTGGGGATTGAACCCAGGACCTTGTGCACGCACTCTGCGACTGAGCTATACTCTCCCCGCCATTTAATGTTTGTTTTCCTTTTTAAGTTTCAACGGTTGTCCTAAAGTTTGCACTATTTACATACAACTACACTAAGACCACTTTCAAACAACACTGCATTACTTAGTCCCAGTTCCTCCCTCCTACTCCTTATAACACTGCCGTCATAGATCTCACGTATACATAAGATATAATCGCCTGATATATTGTTGCTATTATTATTTTGAACACACCGACTTTATTTATCTGTGTATTTATACTGCCTTTCTTCTGCAACTAGAATGTAAGCCCCACAGAAGCAGGACCTCGGTCTGTCATGCTCACCTCTGTAGACCCAGGGCCTCAAACGGTGCCTGGCACAGAGTGGTACTCAGTAAATATTTGCTGAGTGAGCCCATGGAATCTTACTTTGTTCTTACTTGAGAAACTTGATGCTCTATCACATACACAAAGGATGTAAAGTGAAGCCCCAGAGATATATACAAACTGAATGCTCATTGGCCAATCCCTGGAGGTGGGTGGAGCTTTCAACTGGAAAGGAAAGGATTATAAGCCCTGACTTACACCCCAGCACAGCACCGGGAGACAAGAGCCAGGAAGAGATAAGGTTAGTGGTCATGTTCTTTATACTCTCTTCTTGGACTTGGTTGGATAGTTAGATTTGTGGCCAAATTTGTAACTTGTAGTCAGCAATTGTTTTAACGTCATGGTTTAATTTAATGCCTATTATTTCTAAACTTGCCTCTATCAAATAAATGGAACAGATATTTTTTCTTCGGTGTAGATACATAAACCAAAACAAGACAGCAAATGTTCATCTAGACAAGGCCTTTGAAGACTTTCATTGGCTGTGCATGGGATACATATAATATCAGAGCAAAACCATGTATGATCTACATTCAAATTCTACATATGTTATGTAGAATTACATAACATATTGCTTAATAGAATTTAAGCATTTATTAATTTTGAGCCATTACATTTTTTTTCTTCTTCGGCCAAATCTCACATTACCGTACACAGTTGAAAAGAACGCCGGCACCACCCGTTCTGTGCCGGGTACCTGATGGGTAAACTCAACCTCCTGCATCTAGAGAATCTACTCCACGTGTGCTTGGAAGATTCAGTCCAAATGATCTGACCCAACTGGTCTTCCTCTGGGGTCCTGCGTCCCTGGGGTATGGTGCCATTTGAAAAAGCAGGAGTCTCTTGGTCAAGCCCTGACACAGACTTTTCCAGAGCCCACCCCACACTTTAAACAGCTGTGGGCCACGTGGTACCTCACTGTGTTTATTCTCCAAGCAGCCTGGGATGAAAGTCATCTTCTCAGGCAGCTCTGTTTGACTTAAGTAAGTATGTAAGCCGTAAGCAACATGAATCAATCCATTAAGACCCTAATGGAAAGGAAATTTCGTTTCTGAAATTGAAATAGGGGGCTCTCTGGAGAAGATGCTTAGAGCTACCTCCCCAAGCATCCTATTACAGAAGCAACCCCACCCCCTTCCCACCCAGCAGTATGGTTCATTCAGCTGTTTGTGTGTTAAAAATGCCACGGAAACACCTGAGCTCTTTTTCAGAGGGGCTAGTTCCTCATAGGAGACTTTCCCTTTGATAGCACGTCAAATCCAGCTAATTAATACTTCAAGTCCCACCAAATAAGTATTTTGCTAATATGTCATATGATAGAAAAATAGAAGATTCAGAGTCAATTAAAAATGGGCTATAACTTTAAAGCGATCCTGAAAGCTTTAGTCGTGCTCTTAATATTGCTCGTCTTCCAACTTCATGGGATTTTTCTTTCTCTTTATGTCTTACTTCACTTAGGATGCCAATCTCCAGGTCCATTCATGTAGTATTTTCAAATTAAGGTATGCACATTGTTTTTCAGACATAATGCTATTGCACATTTAATAGACTACACTAGCGTGTGGCATAACTTTTATGTGCACTGAGAAACCCGCCAAATGCGTGTGACTCACTTTATTGTGACATTCACTTTATTGTCATGGTCTGGAACCGAACCCAGCATTTCTCTGAGGTCTGCCTGGGTGCCAGTGAATCCCCTGGGGCTCTTGTGAAAAATGCAGACTGATTCGGGAGATCTGGCCCCGGGACTGAGATTCTGCATTTCTTACAATTTCCCAAGTAGATCTGATGCCCTTGGTCCCAAATCGCACTTTTAGAGAACACTCCTCTAAGAGCATCGTTGCTTCTTTTTGCACATGTGAATGCTGCTGCAGTCTGGAGATACAGATGTGTCGGTGCATATGTGTGTGTGCGTGTGTGCACATGCGCCATTTTTTGTCCTTAACTCTGTTCAGCAGTTTCCACTCCTCGCATCTCCACCTCCTTATTAAGCAAATGAATTCGGAACTATGAAGAAACTGTGGCTCAGTGAGGTCAAAAAAACTTGCTCAACTGAAAGGGAGAGTTGAAATCTGAACCGAGGTCTTTGTTTTCACTGGTACCCAGGGCAGAACTCAGATCGTGTTCTTCCACATTTTCTAAAAGATTTAGGGTGTGTTTGTTACCCAAGGACAACAACCTGACTGTTCCAAGGTCGTCATGCCATTATGGCTGCTTTCTGCCCACCTCCGTTGGGCCCCTGGGGCTCTGGTGGGTGTGTGCACACCCCTGCTCATCCCAGGGGATGCTGTGCACAGGTGACGTTCGCCAGTCATGGAAGGTGGGGCTCAATTTCCAATATCAAAAGACCCATGCGATGGGGGGAGCCTACTTGGAGAACCAGGTGTGTTTAATTCATACACATCTGTCAGTCAAAGTCAGTACACAAAGCGAGTTGAAAAGATGAGCATGAGTTTATACTCAGTTTGACCCCCCGGGCTGTGGGTCTTCCAGCAACTGTGCTTTCAGAGTGTTTTCATTTTGGGTGATATTCAGAAAGAGCGCCTCGCTTGTTCCTCACTTCGCTTCCCACAGGTGAACTGAATATTTCCATTGCACCTGCTCTTTTAAGCTTTGACAATGTACTTTTTTTTAACGATGAAAATTGGGTTTACTTTTTGAAACATAAACTTGATCTTCTGCAGTATCAAACTGTGGTTTATCCTATTGTTTGTTGAAATTCACTAGAGGTCCAGGAAAAAGGATTAAAGGACTTGGTTTAGAACCTTAACCTGTAATGCCATGGGGCAGGGTGGGGTGAGGCTCAAAAACCCAAACACATTTATATATACCCGTTCTGTAAGGCTCTGCTTAATTCCTGTAATATAATTCTGTACTTTTATTAAACACTTATTTCATGCTGACTTACCTCTTGGCAGTCTGGATGTTTCCATCAATAGGTATTAGGTTTTGTAAGGGTTTTGATGGCAGGAACTATATCTTATTTATCTTTGTCTGCCTGGAGTGTCCAACCCAGTCCTGTAGCCAGAGAGGGAGCTCAATTAATGTTTGATGTTGAAAGAAAGAAAGAAGGATTGGACAGGGAAATCTTAACAAATTAAGAAACAAGTCTCTCTGGAGGTCATCATTCTAAGCAGAGGAAGCCAGAAAGAGAAAGAAAAATACCATATGATATCACAGATGGGGAGAGTCACACCCACTTAAGATTTCCGTTGGAAGATCCACCAGGACGCGGGTACCCTCCCTGGCACAGAGTAGGCTGGAGATGAACAGAACCAGAGCCACGCCTGAGCCCTCAGCTTCCTCAGCCTTCATAACCTGGACAGGCCGGAGTGGCTGTGATCCACATCCAGGAGGTTACACCCCACGTCTTCCTCTCACTCGGCGATCCTCCTCTCCCCCCACGGAAGAGACAAACTTCCACTGCTGGCTCTTGTCCATTTGTCTGCTGCTCCAGGGTCCCCACTCATTTTTTCGGACGCCTCCGAGGACTCATAGCTCCACACCCCTTTGAACGTCGATTTCACCATGGCAACAAGAAGCTTGCCTCATTCTTAGTAAGTTTAGGATGGCATTTTGATGCCAGTCTTTTCATCTGAGAGAGTTCACTACCATTGGCGCCAGGCACAGCCGTTGGTAGCTCACTCTTTATATATTTTTTAAATTGATTTAAAAAAATGTTTATTGAAGTACAGTTGATTTACAACGTTGTGTTAGTTTCAGGTGTATAGCAAAGCGATTCAGTTATACGTCTATATATAAATCTATTCTTTTTCAGACTCTTCTCCATAATAGGTTATTATAAGATGTTGAATATAGTGCCTGTGTTATATAGTAGACCCTTGTTGGTTGTGTGGTCGCTCTTTATTATTGTGTTATTTAATTATTTTAGCCAGGAGGGGGGGTGTAATTAGGTTTATTTATTTTTAGAGGAGGTACTGGGGATTAAACCCAGGGCCTCATGCATGCTAAGCACGCACTCTACCATGTGAGCTCTGCCCTTCCACCTTCGTAGCTCACTCTTGGCTGGATCTCTGGTACCAATATATTGTCTGGAGCCTCCAAGCCATGACCTTGGTGGCCATGTGAGGTGCCGTTCTCCCATGGGCAATCCAGGGCTGAGAGTTTTCATCTTTCTGGGTTTCAAATCACTAAGAGAATAATCAGACAGAAGAAAGACTCTTCAGCCCACATTTTAAGCACCCACTGCTCAGAAACAGCTTTCTGGAGGCTACCAGAGATGATGTTATTTGGATCCACGGTTTCTAGACCAAAAGATAACTTGTAGCTTTGGCTAGCTTTGGGGAGCAGAACGAATCACTATGAGAAGGGATTGAGCAGGATTTCCTTTGTCCCATTGGATTTATTTCAAACAGAATTCGGGTGGATTAAATGTTTCAGGGAGACAGAATGACAGCAGTCAACCCCAGACCAGCTCCAGCCAAACCTGCAGCCTTGTGCCCATTTCTCCAGAGCAGGTGGAGAGGGCTCAAGTGCCCTCAGAGAGCCGAGAGATGACACTTTCCGAGTGGAGGGCTGCTATTTGACTTCACCAGTATTGCTTGAGTTTTGTCTGAAGGCAGCAAAATACCCGAGTGAGGGCTGGAGTCATTTGTCAGTCACCCAGTTTCTTTTGACCACTGCCTCCTGGCACCTGGTCCATCCGAAAAGTGACTCCCAGGGCTGGAACCCACTGTGTGCGTGTGTCCCGCTGTGCCTTTGGCATGTTGGTGAATTCCTATACCCTCCTCCTTTTCACTTCTCAGAGTGTGAGGGGCTGCTTCTGTTTGATCCTTAACCAATTTACAAGGGTCATGCCAGGAGATCAGAGAATTTAGGAGTTATCTTGTTGGAGAGAAGTTGAGAAGAGACAGTCTCCCTCTTTCTCTTCTCGCATTTCCTCCACGTTCACTTAATTGTAGGGTTCATTTTAAGGTTTGTCAGTAGTGAGTTGCCAGACCTAAACATAGTTCTTCACATCAGAGAATTACAGTATCTTTTGAATCACTGTGTCTCCCAAGACAATAAATGGTGGGTTTTCACGAAGCTCCTGAAATTGTCAACATGCAATAGCTAAAAGGCAATTTAAAAGAAATGAATCTTGACAGCAACCGAACACAGGCAGTGCCTGGGGGTGGCAAGGCCACAGCAAGAAAGGAATCAAACCTCGCCAAGAGTGAAACTGAAAATCCAGTGCAGAGAAGAGAGCAGTTGTGCGGGGAATGGCTTCAAAACGTCTGCAAGGCTTTGGGAATCAAAGAGTGACGTTGTCATCCTATGATTGCGGGGTATTAACTGTTACATTTCTCATCATAAACTGAGCTACTGGTATTCTGGTTTTTGACCTTCTTGTGAGTTTTGTTAGCATGGGCAGCACCCTCAGGTGGAATCCAGGCTGGGGCGGGATATGTGGCAGTTTGGGGCTTCCCAGGCAGAGGCCCACGGTAAGTGCTGAGGGCGGCTTCCCCATCCGTGCGCTCACCCTGACGCGTCCTGAGAGCCTCTAAGCTCCTGTGCGCTGGGCCAGCAGCTGGCATCGTTGCTGTCTCCCTGAAGCATGCAATGTTGCATCCAGGGTCAGAGAGGCGGATGGAAGAAAAGGAGACCCAGCCATCCTCTACGCTGGTGTAGAGCTTTAGTTTATTCAGAGCACTCGATCTCTGTGTTCTCCAATTCGATCGTCTCTATATCCCTGGGAGATAAGCAGGGGTCACTAACGCAACAGCCACTGTGGCTTTTACAACAATGAGTTGGAAGTGTCATTGGGAACGCCCACCTTATGACTATATTCTGCTGGGAAAGGCGGCAGGTCACCTGGTGTGATTCTTCCCAGTTACAGAGGAGGACATGCAGGCAGATGGACGTTGAGTGAACTGGGCCTAAAGTGATCCGGCTCCTTGGTGGCCAGGTACGGGCTAAATCCTGGTCCTGTCTCGGTCTGCCTCTGTGCTTGTCCCAGCACTCAGGAGAGTCTAGTGACAGATAAGAAAGAGTCCCCAGTTCCCACAGAACATTTCAGTTCCAACCGGCTCACCTCCCTCCTACTGTTAGAAGATTTCTTTTGCACAGTCATTCGTGACACCATCACATTAACCCCTGATTCCTTCTTTAAGAGACCAGAGGCAGAATACAGATAGTTTCACATGTACATGTTGTTCTTTCTTTTCTCTTCAATTGTGCGATGGAGCATGTATATAGGAGAGTGTAAAGACATTTCTTACATTTCGAAGACTAGTTATAAAGGCTAATTACTTATTCTGTTTCCAAAATAGAACATCATCAGCATCCCGGAACCCCACCATCTCCCCCACCTCCCCTACAATCACAACCCCCATCCTCCTCACTAGAGGTACCCACCATCCTGCGTCTGTGATCATTATTTTCTCACTTTTCTTCATAGTTTTACCTCCTATGGATGAGTCCCTAAACAACAGTTTCATTTCGCCTGCTTTGGAATTTTTATTTATTATTTTCTTGGGGGGGGATAATTAGATATTTGTTTATTTGTATGGTGGTACTGGGGATTGAACCCAGGACCCTGTGCATGCTAAGCATGTGCTCTACCACTGAGCTATACCCTCCCCCTGGAATTGTTGCCGTACAGCATGTGTTAGTCTGTTCTTTAAACACATTTATCCTCTTCTTCCCTTCAGAAAACCCAAGCCAGAAGTCATGGCAGCCAAACCCAAGCTCTGCTACTTCCGCGGCCGGGGCAGGATGGAGTCGATCCGCTGGTTGCTGGCTGCGGCTGGCGTGGAGGTTGGTTCCCAACCGGGAGAGGGAAGGAGGGTAACCTGGGTGAGGCTGAAGTGGTCCTCTTCCCCCGTCAGAACTCAGGATGATGCCTTCAAGCTCGATCCACCCCTTCCCTTCCCAGCTGTCTTCCTTCCTAAGTGAAGGGGGGATCACAGCACTTGTTTAAGCCGGGTGGGATGGGGAAGCTTAGGGAAGTGTTCTGGAAGCTTCATGAGGCTGGAAAGATCTTGGTGGATGACGAGACAGAGGAGAGAAAGAGGAGACCTGCATCTGAATCATTCTCTCTGTTGAAACCAGCTGATGCCCTGGGCTCTTTCCAGCTCTGCGCTGGCAACTCAGTCATGTTTTACCTGCAGCTGCCCACCGGAACCTTGGCCCCAGCTGCACCCTGGCCCCTCCTTGACCTTCCTCAGAAAGGCCAGCCCCATCGGATCTTTCCTGAACTCTGAATTTCCTCTCAGTGACTTTTCCATAGATTTTTGCATGTGCTTCACAAGTATTTTGTTTCATGCGGTGAAGACTTCCTTGGCCCTATTTGAATGTCATCTCCTCTAGAACATGGACTCAGGACTGTCTTTATTTTGCTTTGTTTTGCTCACTTTACTTCACTCCCATCTCAAGGATTGTGGGACAAAAAAGTCACTCTTTCCCACAAAAGCTTTAGAAACTCCATCCATCAATGTTGACACCCCCACCCATGTCAATGATATTCAGGTCCCTTTCACTGAGGATGTGAGCATCGAAGAGAAACTGAATCTGACCTGATATGGAGGGAGAATAACACAGAAGAGAGAGAAGGAAGAGGGGAAAGGGAAGAAGAGAAATCACAGGGGAGGATGGAGGAAAGGATAAGACTTTGCAGAGAAGGCAGAGCTAAGATGAAGAAAAGGAAAAATATGAATGGGGGACTGGGAGTGTCCTTTAAGAAGGCAACACCCCTAAAGAGGTGCCAGTCCCACGTTAGTCTAAGCTAATCTACACACACACTGTCAGAATTTTCAGCAATGTGGTGGTTGGCAGCTTTGTGGTTCCTTTTAAAATTTTCATCCTGGAAGCCACTGAGAATTTTAAACTGTGGGCTTTGCTTTTCTTTTCTTTCCTTTTCTTTTCTTTCTTTCTTTCTTTCTTTCCTTTTCTTTTCTTTCTTTCTTTTCTTTCTTTCTTTCTTTCTTTCTTTCTTTCTTTCTTTCTTTCTTTCTTTCTTTCTTTCTTTTTTCTTTCTCTCTTTCTTTCTTTCTTTCTTTCTTTCTTTCTTTCTTTCTTTCTTTCTTTCTTTCTTCCTTTCTTCCTTTCTTCCTTTTTTTCTTCCTTTCTTCCTTTCTTTCTTTCTTTTCTTCTTTCTTCTTTCTCTCTCTCTCTCTAGAACCTTAAAGTTATAACAATGTCTCTATCCTTTATCTAGTTTGAAGAAGAATTTCTTGAAACAAGAGAACAATATGAGAAGTTGCAGAAGGGTAAGCCTAGATTTATTCAATGTTATCTTACTGGAAAAAGAACTATGTTTTTAGGAAATACTCATTTCAACACAAAGCTCTAAGATGACAACTGTGTGAACAGGGACACGGTGTGATTGCTAATGCTGACAGCTCACTGTGTCCCTGTTCCAGAGCTAAGTGTATCATCAACATTGCCTCCTCAGCCTTCATACAAGCTTATCAAGGAGGCTACGACTCTGACTTCAACTAGATACGATAACACAGGTTGACCCAGTGCCAGTTGACTCAATACTCCCCATCGCACCAGAGAATCCTTTAAGAATTCTTCATGATGGTCCAGTGGGTTGGAGGAGAGGGAGCAAATGGGAGAGTGAATTAGACCTAAGATACTCTCTGGTTCTCATGGTTCACACTCACTTTTCCTTAGTGTATTTAACAGATTGACAGATCCCTTAGTGATTTCAACAGATTGACAGAAACCATCAAACAAATCTCACTTTTTCCATGTAGCAAACGGTAGGCATTTCCTCAACAACTGGGGTCTTGAACTCATCACTTGGGTTGAAAACTAAAACGACCCAATGAAATTAGAAGTGGACCCTCTTGTGGGCTTACCACAACAGTGGAGGGGGCATATCTTAACCTCTGTTTGCTCAAACCGCAGATGGATGCCTGCTTTTTGGCCAAGTACCTCTGGTTGAAATTGATGGAATGGTGCTGACGCAGACGAGGGCCATTCTCTGCTACCTCGCTGCCAAGTACAACTTGCGTGGGAAGGACCTGAAGGAGGCAGTCAGGTACCAGAGTAGTCATGCCTATACTTGGCTCTCAGCCAAGCTCTGTGGTCCTGCATCAACTATGACCCAGCTCAGGTGCAGCCTTTCAGTCTGGACAGAGGGGAGAAGGCAAGGGAATGAGGGAGATGCTCTGGCCACTCAGACATGTCATGTGCATGCTCTGACCACCTGCTCCAGGTCTCCCCTCTACTCGTCCCACCGGTCTGCATCCAACATTCTTGTATTCTCTCCTCACTCCTAACAAAGAATGTTCTCATAAAATGACCTGATAAACTATTCTGCATGAAGGTGGAAATGACTGACTCAGCAAACGTATTGAGCATGGTATCAATGATCTCGTCCCACAAATAATGCCGTATAATGTATCACCTTGAAACCCAGGGACTTAAAACAAGAAGGATTTGTTATTGCTCACCAGTCTATGGTCCACAGTGTCTGCGTGTCAGCACATCTGGGCCAGGCTTGACGTATCTTGGCTGGACTCACTCCCATGTCTGTGGTCAGCCAAGAGTCAGCCAGGAGACTCTGGTTGGGGTGTTGGCTGGGCGCCAAGTTTTATCACAAATACTGAAGGGTGGGGATTTGTGGCCATTTTTTTCCTACATGTGTAACCACAGCAGCTGCTCTGTGCTCTGCGCTCTGCTACGCGTGGCTGGGGATGACCTGGGTTATTTCTCCCAGGAATAGTTTTGTTTCACAGCAGGTGAGTAAACTTAAGACAAAACAAAGATTTCCAACTCTTAAGATTGTATCTGGATCTGGAGTTGGTGGATCCTTTTCAGTGGGCCCTGAAATCTCATTGTTACTGACCAGGGTTCTTGGTCTCCTTCATCAATCTAGAAATTATAAGAGGCTGGAAACTCAGGCAAGGCTTTATTGGGACTTGTGCTGCAGCAGGAGAGAGCAAAAACTAGTAGCAGTTTCCCTTGCTAGTTCCCTGAGCGGGGTGGGTTGGGGTGGTAATTTGGTCCTTTAAATGGGCGGGGGCTGGGGCGGGTCCAGGGGAGGGGCTGGAGGGACGGCTAGGTGGTCCTTGTGCAGGGATCATGTGCAGTCCCCTGCTTTTGCTCCTGACACCTCAGAAATGGCAGTTGGGTTTTTGGTCCTTTTGTATCTTGTTGTTCATGATTAGCTCCAACTACGCATGCAATATAGTTATTTTTAGTTCTCAATAGGTTTTTTTGGTTTTGGTTTTTGGTGTTTTTGGTATTCTGTTGCTCCCACATGGTACAAGCATTGCAGCCCAGGGTCCCAGGTCCCAGGTGCCAATCTGTTTCATCATCACCATCATCATGGACACTATGGGATGCCTAATATACATCAAACACATGGTAGAAGAAAAGGCAAAGCTCTAACACTCAGAAAAGAGTGCGCGCATAACACGGGAATGAGCAAAGTCCGTACCAAGAGGCACCCAACCCCAGCTTTCCCATAGCCCCATCTTAATACGGACTTAATCACTCTAACCTGCAACCCCAAATTTCAAACACAATTTCAAACACAGTGTATGACTAGAATCGTTTTTATAATAACTTAAACAAGTACTATTATGCAAAAGCAGTCTGTTTCTCATTGTTTTGATGCAGGTTTTTAGTTGTTTTTTTTTAAATCTCTAAGTTTTTTTTTCAAGATGTGTGTTCTAAACTGTATATAGCATCATTAATTTTTTTTTCCAGGTTAGACATAAAGTCTAAGCGACTACAGCAAGTAGGCTGCGAGACAATCTAACAAGGGAGAAAAATTATTTGTGATTCCGATAGAACAATGGAAGCCAATTATTCTTATATATGTTAAAACAGAAAATAGCCGGGAGGGTATAGCTCAGTGGCAGAACGCCTGCTTAGCATGCACAAGGTTCTGGGTTCAATCCCCAGTCCCTCCATTAAAAAATAAGTAAGTAAATAATAAACCTAACTACCTCTCCCCCCAAAAGAGAAACATTTTTAAAAAGAAGATAGAGAAGATCATCAACCCCAAATTGTTGGGCAATTAGCACATAGAAAGGGGGTACAAAGGTACACACCCCTTAATGAGTTTGAACACTAGTTGTAAAAATATCTAGCATAACATGACAGCGCCAATAGGTAGTAAAGAATAGATCATAAATAATCTAATCTGCTTTTTAAAATATTCTTTTTTAAAAGTGTTTGTCAATGAAAGGGAAATTTTAAAGAGAAGGAAATAGAGCAGTAAATCTTTTTCAGTTGTCAGGTCAAGGGAAGACCGGCTAGATCATATACCTACCTTCTCTTAAGTAAGTGGAAAGGTCTGGTACTAACAGTTTTGCACTTTCGGTAAAACTCATTCAGTTTGGTTTTTAAAACCATAATAATCTAAGTATTTGTTTATGGGCAATTTCAACTTAGAAGCACGTTCCTTTCTTCAATAAGCGTTTCCAGGGAGCCTGCTATACCGTGGTCACGTGGCTGGCTCTGGTTCCAGAAATCATTCCTGAGCACGGTTAGAGGAGGGGGAATCAGAAGTCCTCTGCCCCAGTATCTGGTTGCACCAAAAAAAGTGGCGGATTGGGAAAGCACACACTCAGAGGTTCCTCTCCGAGTGAGTCTCTGGTGTGTTGCCAGGATCGACATGTACGCAGACGGCACCTTGGACCTCATGATGATGATCGCGCTGGCTGCGTTCAAACCCTCCGAGGAAAAAGAGGAGGACCTTGCTTTAGTCGTCCAGAAAGCGAAAACTCGGTACTTCCCCGTCTTTGAAAAGGTAGGCTGCTGCGACCCAGTTTGGCGGAGGCGGGTGTGGCACAGGGCGAGGGGTCGGTGACAGCTGCTTGCTCAGATCCTGAGGGGGGGAGGGGACGGGGCAGGGCTGGCATCTATGAGGGTCCCCCAGATCCCAGCCCCCCGGGGTCCCCTCACCCGCACCCCCAGCCCAGGAGGCAGTCAGCGAGGCGCGGACGAGTACTGGGAGGGAGATCAGAGCACAGCCCCAGTTCCACTTCCCAGGATGCCGGGATCCAGAATTTGGGCATTTTACACTGCTCGTAAGAATAAAGAATGAATAAAGACAGAAGCTCTGTTAGAGCTCCTGCTGCATTTGGACCAAAACTTTAATAAGGATTCCAGAACAAATGACATATATAATTAGGGAACCTCCGACAAAACATGAATGGAATAAACCAAGTGCAGTAAAAGGATCCAGCATTTCTCCTCTGATTTTTAAATAAGCCATCAGTCCGAGGCATCACCACCTTGAATTCACTGCATCAGATGTCTTTTTAAGCTTGATATTGGAGGCGAATCAAGCTTCAGTCAAAAGATAAAGTCTCTTCAACTTACAACTTTTCTGAAGTCATTTCTGAGTGGATACTAATTACAAATATCCTCTCAGTACATCTGGTAGGGCTGCAAATCTCTGATCCACATAGGTAACCAAACCACTTTTGCTGAATCACAGCATGTTACTTACTTCACTTCAATGACTTAAATTCTATATTGTGAAATCACATAAATTCAAGTTTTTTTCACTCAGGTTAAATTTAATTTCTGAAATAAGGTGAGTTTTTAAAAATTATAAGAAGTAAATGCTCATTATTTTAAAAAATTGAACAATACAGAATCACTACCACCTTCACTACCAAAGATAAATGTCAGTTACTTTTGTGTTTTTCCTTCCAGTCTTTTCATTGTAAACAAGTTTTATTTCTTTTCAGATTTTGCATAATTGTAATTATACTCAAGATCATATCACATGTTGTTCTATTATTTAAAATATTTTTCAAAAGCAGGAGCTACTATTCAGCACTAACAAATGTGAATACTTTCATTTTCTTGCTTAAGAACTTTTTCTTTCTCCCCAAAACAAATCTGTACAGATAACTGAGGTCTCCTTTGGACTGTACCCAAATGTTACGTCCCTTCCTTTCTTCTTCTCCAGAGGCAATCACTGTCAGGAATTTGGTATAAATTCTTCTTGTCCATTTTGAAAAACAGAGACTTGGCTTTGGGATGTTTAAAAAATTTTTACACAAATGGATCTTAAAATATTTCTAAGTACACAATAACATAGTAGGAGCTTGTCTCCAACTTCCTTCTTTCAATCGACTCTGTTTTTGAGTCATATAGATGAATGCTTTGTCATTACTAATATATTTGAATTTACTTCTTTCATTCTGTTTTGTTTTTTCTTTGCAAATACAAAGCTTTTCTTTCCCTCCCCACCCCCTGACTTTTCTATGTCCTGTTAGATTGATCAGGTTTTCTTTATTCTCAATTTTTCTTCTAATGGTTTGGAAGATGAACATGCCGTTCTTAAATTATTACTCACTATCCTCCTCTCAGTTAGACAAGGCTTTGCTTCTCCTCCAAACCTCTCCCTTCTTCCTCTTTTTATATTTCTGTTGAGTCGTATTTTAGATTCAGCTTGATTTTAAACTACTCCCCATTTTTTTTTTTCTAACAGTACTTACGTGGATTAATGACATGTTTAGCTGATTTTGGTCACCAGTTCTCCCTGTAATTTATGCCTTTCTTCTGGGGACATTTTCCTTCCACGTGAGGAACATTTTTTGAGAGTTCCCAGAAGGGTCCGTCAGCGGTCAGCTCTTCCAGTCTTTGTCAGAAAATATCTTCATTTTATCTTCACTCTTAAATAATTATTTAGATGGTTATAGAGTCCTAGATTAGTACTTATTTTCTCTTAACGCCTTGAAGATATTACCGCAGTGTCTTCTGCCCTTGGTTTTTTGCTATTTCAGAGTCTGTTTATCTTTCCTTTCAAGGCACTATATTTATCATTTTTAGATTCCATCTTTATCTAATTTACTTTCAGTGCTCTGTGTTTACTTCTGGATTTGTTTTTATTTATCTGCTTGTTGTTTCTTTTCAGTCTGAAGGGTCTCCCTTTTTTTAAACAAAATCCTGGAAAATTCTCCACCATATAACACTCGAAAATGGCTTCTTCCTTATTCTACTTTGTCCTCCTGGGGTCCAATTAGATACATGTTGATGCTTCGTTCTGTCTTCCATGTCTCTTAACGTCTCTTTCATAGTTCCAGTCTCTCTGTCTCTGTGGGTTTCCTCAGATCGATATGCCAAATTACTGATTTTTTCCAGCTTCTCCATGGACTTTTTTATATGAACGTGTATATGTTTTACTTCAAAAAGTTTATTTTTATCTTTTTCAAATCCATATGTCATTTTTTTCTACATGCCTTTTTTTTTTCATTAACTCTTTGAACATGTTGGACATTTTTAACTCCTTAAAGAGTTCGCTGTTTCTTTTTTTGGCTCTGTGGCTCAAATTTTTCTTTTTCATGAGTCTGTTGCCTCTGTCTCTTGGAAGCGTTGTCTCCTGTACAAATTATGTGCTGTATAATTGTAGCTGCAAGCTTGTCTTTGGCAGAAATCACATTCTATATATTTAACATATTTGATATAGTCCTTCCACTGTTTTCATCTTTGCCTTGGCTGGGATATTCTAGATTTCACTGATTCTAGACTTTTTTTCATCCATATGACCATTCATTTTGATTCTTGTATGTATCATAAGAAGATATGTGGTACCTAAACTTACCCTTAATCCTTATTTATGGAAGAAACCTATATTTTGTATATCTGCTACTCAAAGCTGCACCTGAGAAATTTTTATATTCATTTTTCACTGGATAGCATAAAGGCTGAGGTTTGGACTTCCGGTATCCCATTGGTGCCTCATTTCTACCTGTTGTCTCGTAGCTAGATTCCAGCTAATGATGACCTTTGTGTCTCTCTATGGTGGTGGGTACAGTCTTACTGAACCAGCTCTAGGCTTATAACTGGGAGCTCTGTTCCAGCACTTCAACTCCAGGTGTCTTGAAAATCACTGACCAATTCCCTATAAGATTGTGCCAATTTACGGCAATGTGTAAGAGTGTTAGCTTCATCTTACACTTGCCAGCATTCGTGGAGATTATCAAGAAAAAGGTTTCTTTAGTAAATTTGATCTGTACAAAAAAGCCCATGCTTTTGTAAGTGTTTAGCCAGGCAAAATAGTCCTTAATTTTATTTGATATTCTTTGTTATTCTTCTTTCTGCAGATTCTGAAAGACCATGGAGAGGATTTTCTCGTTGGCAACACATTCAGCTGGGCAGACATACAGCTGTTGGAAGCTATTTTAATGGTGGAAGAACTCAATGCTTCTGTTCTTTCTGACTTCCCTCTGCTAAAGGTAGTTTATTAACATCCACGCAAAGCTCAAGAAAAAAAAAATGAAGAGACATAAAGACTGAAACAAAATGTGCCTTCAGGTTACTCTTGAAAGTTAAGAGACTGTTTTAAAAATCATTGCTTTATTCATTTTGGTGCTTGTCTCCTGCTCACATGATAGGGTCGTTAGGAAATAAAACATTATGAAGGGAGAAAGAATAGATTATTTGTTTTTGGCTTAAATATTTAATGCTTTGCACCTTTTGTAGTGCTTTGAGTGTTTTTTCCTGATGAAGCAAGGCTGACGAGTCTGTTTCTGTTGTTTTCCATCCCAGCTGACCAAACCACTCTGCCTCTGTCAGTCCCCCTGATGCCAGGGACTCCCAGGAAGCCCCTCAATTGCTCAGAGCCTCTGCTGGAAAGGCACTGCCTCTCCCCTGCTACCCTGCCCATCTTCTGACCTCTTTTTCTCTGAATCTTGCCGCTGCCAGACCTTCCCTGGCCTCTGTTCCAATTCCTTACAGACATTTCATCTAACAGGTGACCAGAGGTTTTTGTAGTTCAAGACTAGCATTTTTTTAATGATCACAAAAGATACATATAAGATATTTATATAAACCAAAAGAAGAAAAGAAAAGAAAAAAGACCTATGATCTTACCAGCCAAATGTTACTGCATTAGATTTCCTGTCCTTTTTGACATTTCCCTACAAATGGCATCATCCTAAATATTGCTGTGGTCTGCTTTTAACATTTTAAAAAATTATCACAAATATCTTGACATGTCATCAGATATTCTTCTGTAATATCATTTTATTTTATTTTATTTTCATTAGGCAATAGAGTCACATCTTTTTGCAGGATCAGAGCTATATAAAAAGGGTGTAAATTGTGGAATCTCATTCCCACTACTGCCCTCCCACCTTCCCACCCCATCATCTTTTTTATTGGTTTCCTGTAATCCTTTCCAGGGCTCCTATTTATGCAGATCCAAGCAAATACGAATATGTATTTATTCCCTCCACTCCTGCTTTCTCCCACAAAACAGAAAATAGGGTATATTGTGTTCTACCCTGGGCTTTTTTTTTTCCAACTAAACAATGCAATGCAATGCATTGCAATTCCTGTCAACAGAGGAAACTTCCTCTTTCCATTCATATTAATATGATTTTAAATTGCTGACTTATATTTCTTGCAGAGATGTACCATGACTTCTATAACCAGTTTCATTTTCCTGGAAACATAGTTTATTTCCAATATTTCATTGTGCTAGCATTCTTAGAGTTATGTCTTTTCTCACCCCTTCACTTATTTCCTTATAATAAATTCCCAAACACTGAATTGATAGGTCAAAAAATATGAATTTCTAGACTTATTAATATGCATTGTTGCCTAGTTATGTCAATGATTTTTTCAATAAGAAAATTTCACTAATGCTAAACAGACCAGCAATTGCATCATCCTTCTGCAGAGCACCCAGCAAACACGTATGGCAGGATGAACTTGGATTCAACACCCTGGGCTTCACAAGCTGATAATCGAAGCTCCCCTCCCTCATGACAAAGTTTTGATTTTTCTTAAAGGTTGTGATGGCTCTTAAAGCCCTGATCTTACTGTTCCTCATTTCAGGCATTTAAAACAAGAATCAGCAACATCCCTACAATTAAGATGTTCCTGCAGCCTGGGAGTCAGAGGCAGCCGCCCCCAGATGGCCACTATGTTGAAGTCGTCAGGAACGTCTTGCAGTTGTAAAGGCAGTTTACAGTCTTAACGATGGCCAACTAATGAACCAATCACAGCGTCAGCACACGCCGCCAACTGAATCCAACTGTAGATTCTAGGGATAAAGTGTAGATTCTAAGAGTAAAGTGTTCGAAAAGAACAAAATTATATTGCCATCAAACAGCAATGCCAATTAAATGCAGTCTAAAACCATTCTGATATGTGACACTTTTTAAGCTTGTCAAATGCGGATAAAGAAGCTGGTATATTGTGAGAAGTGCCCTCCAGAGGGCGCTGTTCTTGCTGTTTGCATCAAGATCGGGACCATGGAAGGAAGAGTGAGTAGATGGGAGGGGGCAGGATCGGGGATGCTGGGTACTTGGGATAGAGAAAAAGGGGCAAATGATAAAGATGTTGGCAGACACTAGTAAATCCTAAGAGGAAGCGTGAAGGACAGAGAGCATCCAGGACACATCGTTTTGCAACGCCGAAAAAACCTTGAGCAACTTTATTATAGACAACCCTCTTCCACTTAAAGAGACACCAGGGACTAGGTTTTGTTTTGGTCAAACAATTCCAAGTAACACTGAGATTAGATATAACTGCTGAATATTTATACAAATGGACCCAAAGACTCTCTAGCCTTGATAATACATCCTGTACGGATGGGTTCCCCAGAAGTGAAATTTGGAGCTCAGCTCCACCTCAGGGCTCTGTTTGATGAGGGGTATCACGCTATTCAGGGTGCTGTTCTGAGCTCAGCAGTGGCTCCCGCTGGGGCGGGGGTGGGGGTGGGGGTGGGGTTTCTGGTCTGGAGCAAGACCCCTGACAGTGGCTTGGGGTACACAACTCTACCAGCTGGAAGCTGCTGCTGGGACATCCGGCCCGGGCTGCACACTGGATCAGATTCTGAGTGTGTCCAGGTAAGTGTCCTTACTTGTAAATGACTTAATGACTCATCATTATTGAGTTCCATTATTATTCACGCCATTTCCTTAGGACCACCACGGGGCGTGGCCATTCCTCCACTACACCCTGCCCCATCCGTCCCTCCTGCCCCTCAGAGGGCGGGCCAATCAGCAGAGGTACTGAGAGCCCGGCGCCGCCCCCTCCCAGCCCAGCAGTGGGGTCGGGGATGCTGAGCTCCGGCTCGCCGCACAAAGCCCAACCTCGGGGTGGCGTTTAGCGAACGCCCCATCTCATCCCTCACCTGACACAGCCACGGCCAATAGATGGCGGTTGAGAGAGGGAGGGGCGGCTTCTCAGAGGAAACCCGGCCCCCTCGTGTGGGATGGCTGTTCCCCCTGACTTCCACCAAGGGCATGAGTCTGACCTGATCGAGATGAAGTGAAAAAAAGAGAAAGAAATTATTTTTGATGATTCAGAACTACAGGCCAGTTTCTCTCTCTCTCTCTCTCTCTCTTTCTTTTTTTTTTAATAATCGCAAGTTCTTGGTAAATAATTCAAAGAATTTGAAAGTTTTACAGTGAAAGATAAAATCTTTTCCTCCTTAGATTGCTTTTAAAAACAACCGTTTCCTGGGTCCTGACCCCTTGCCCTGGGCTCCTCCTTTGAGAAGCAGAGCACCCCGTGGTTGAGTTCCCAGCGCTCCCAGCCAGTTTTGCCTTGTTCTAAGAGATCTGAAACAAGCCCCAGAGCACACCCCAGAGGCACAGCCTCCCAGTGCCAGGGCAGGTTTCACCGCCCAATAATCCCATTAGATGCTACTTGCTGTCTCTATTGTAACCGTCCTAAGCCCTTCATCCTTTCCTGTAGGACTTTTTTTGGGGGTAACTGTGTGCCCCAGGAAGCAAGCTGCAGAGACCCCAATAGCTCCCAACAACATCCAAGGCCCCATTTCTCCTCCCCTGCCATCTTCTTCGTCTACTGACTTTCTGAATAAAGTCATTATTCCTTGCTCCAACACCTTGTCTCCCAATTTATTGGTCTGTCGTGGGGCAAGCAGGAGTCTGGACTCAGTAACAGGCAGACCCCTGTTGTGCCGTCCTGGGCCAGCGGGAATTACATCCTGCTTTTAGGGAAGCGACAAACTAGACCCAGGACAGGAGCCAAATTTGTCTACCATCACAAGCTAATGAACAACCGAGCCAGACCCTGGATCCAGAATTTGGGACCCGTGATCTTCTCAATGTATTTGTCAGTGGCCTGATGTTCATTTTGGGAGACTAGTGGCAGCTAGGAAATAGATCTTTCTTGGCAAACTTGAACCTGGTGTTTCTATTCATAGCCCTCAGCAGACATTATCATGCTGTGAGTTAACATATTTTGCCTTTTTCCCTAAGCCCGTTCCCATCCAGTATCTATTGGGTCCTTCCCAAAATCTTGCAAGGGTGGACTTTTATTTTCCTTTCAGATTGTAACACTATTGGAACTTGAGGCTTTTTTTTTTTTCAGATCAAACTTTTTAAAGAAGTAAAACAAACATGCAGTCAAGGGAACAAATCATATTCACAGCTCAGTTTTTTGTTTTTTGTTTCTGTGTTTTGTTTGTTTGTTTGTTTGTTTTACAAATGCCACATTGCTATTTTTGAAGCAGCATCACTGAGGTTTCATTTATTTATTAAAAAATGTTCAATTAGTTTCCTTATTCAGGATTATGCTGCCCCACCCCCCGGCCCTGGGCAATCACTGATCTGCCTTCTGTCTATCTCACTCCTGCAAAATAAAACTGGCTTGAACCCACGATGCCACGACAATGGCCCTGGGTCATCTTGCTACGTCCTCTTCCTGCAAGAAGATCCTGCAGAACTGCCCTGTGTGAGTCAATGAAATAAGACTTCACAGGCGACACCGTCAGAGAGATGGTCAGGCTCCTGCAGGAGAAATCTCAGAAACCCCTGAATCAGTTAAGGTACGATCTCAAGCAAATAGAATTTAATGCAAAAATAAGCTGTAATTCAACTGGCAGTTTTCCCAAAAGGGCAGGAATTTGCAGGCTGTTCTAGAACTACTTGAACATGAATATTTTGGGGCTCCCTGACACAGAGCTTCCCCACCTGTGTGTCCTGCATGGGTTGCAGCTGGAGTCACGTGGTTTACCCCGGGGCTTACGATTTCTTGTATTTTTGTGTTTGTATTTACAATTTCTTGTAATTTCTTACATTTCTTCTCTCTGTAGTTTGTACTTGAGACCTCATATTTAACTGTGGTAAAAGCTGTGTCCCTTTTAAAAGGAATTTCAGGTATCAGGAAATAGACGTGGCTTTATCAGTGATCAAGGGTCCTTCATGCTCTAACTACACCCCGTAGAGATTAGAGATTGCTTTAGGCAAGGGTCATGAGGAAAAAAAAAGATAACATTTACTGGGCATTCTCTATGGACAAGACTCTCTTCCAGGGGCTCTACATCCATTTTATGATTTAATTCTTTCAACACCTTCCAAGAGACATATTGTTAGAGCAGGCAGATAGCTAGATCTGAGCAGAGAAAGGGGGACACAGACCAAATGGTAGGAATTGGGCAGAAAGGAGGGGCACAAGCCAAGTGCAGGAAACACACATAAGCACCAGAGGTCCCTGGGCCAAGAAAGAAAAGCGGGAATCTTTGGGCTGATAAGAGGCCACACCTTTTGGCTTGGAGACCAACAAAGAAAGGTCAGAAAAGGCAGGAATTTCCAGTGTCTGAATGTAACCTTTTGCTCATTATGCCCTCATTTCAATAAAATTAGCCTTGCTGGTCAGAAGTACCCATCATGCACAGACACCATGACACTTCTCTTCCAGACTAAATAAGGACAAAAGTCCCTCCTCCCTTTGGGAAGGTGGAGTTGGGATGATAATCAGGAAATATGACCCTAAGCCCTTCCCTCCCCAGTGAATATTCCGCCCGTTCATTTTTACACCCGATGTAACTAACTTGCCAAAGAAACTCAGGGCAGCCGCTCACCTGAGCCTGCCTCGCTCTCCCCTTGAGAGTGTACTATCCATCCTTTAATAAATCCTGACTTTACTTTTTTAACCTCTAAGTCTTGTCTCTGAATTCTTTCTGGGACGGGACAAGAACCTGGAACACCGGTTGGATCCAGCGGCAACAATAAGATCATTGGAGTTTGCACAGTGAGGAAACTGAGGCCCTGAGAAGCCAGAGGACGTAGGTTCCCAGAGCCAGGACCAGGACTAGGGCTAGAAGCCAGGCTCACTCCTGCCAGGCCCAAGGCATCCTCTTCTTCCAAATTTAAGAGCCAATGATTGTAAACCATGAGGCTTTAAAAAAAAAATCCAGACACTGTTGGGGAGTGATTAGTCCATCTTGTTTTCCAACGTGGCCTCCGATGGCCTTGAGCCCAGTCCTGCAGGGACCTCCTCGCTGGGCCCAGCCTCCAGTGAGGGCACTCTAACAAGCAAGCCAGTGGCCCAGGATGGGAGCAGAGGAGGTGATTGACCTTCACTTTCCTGGTAGTGGTGGTGGTGTTACTGGTACCAAGTCTAGGCTTGTACTGGTCACTGGATGACAGGCCAGTACATCAAGAGATGAGGTGTTGGGGCAAGGAATAGCAACTTTGTTCAGAAAGCCAACTGACTCAGAAGATGATGGACTAGCATCCCAAAGAACCAACTTACCTAAGTGAGGATTCAGGCTTCTTTTATACTAGAGGGGGAGGAGGTGTGGTTGGTGGTTGCAAACTTCTTGCTGCTGGAATCCTTTGTTCTTTTAGATCTTCACGTAGGTCTGGTCACAATGTTCCTATAAACCTCTTGTGAAGGAAAAGCTGGGCTGGTCTAACAAGATAACTCACAGGTCTAGGAATGTGAAGGAGAGGCTGG